TCTTCTTCTTCTTCTTCTTCTTCTTCTTCTTCTTCTTCTTCTTCTTCAAACTTACCTCACTGTGCATGCGCGTGCCTCACAGCTGATTTTCAGCCAGCTTCAGGCCTTTTTTGGACTCCCAGAGGCTTGAGGAAGGCTTCTGTAGGCTTCTTCAGGATTTTCTGGATGAAAACTAGGCCAGGAAATATCGGAAGTGACGAAACGGGCCTAGTTTTCGGCCTGAAAAGCTGGCAGAAGCCTTCCTCAAGCCTCTGGGAGGCCGAAAAAGGCCTCAAACTGACTGAAAATCAGCTGTGAGGTGCAGTGCAGGAAAAGGGATGGCGGGTGGGTGAGTGGGGATTGCACACACATGCATAGGTGGGGTGGGGTGGGGGCACATTGCCTTCTGGGTGCTGGCATGTGAGTGCGAGTGTGCAAATGCGCACACAATTTTTGGCACAGGAGCCTAAAAAGGTTAGCCATCACTGACTTAGGCCAAGGGTCTTCAAACTTGGCAAGTTTAAGACTTGTGGACTTCAACTCCCAGAATCCCTGAGCTAACAGGAGGAATTCAGGAGGAATTCTGGGAGTTGAGGTCCACAAGTCTTAAAGCTGTCACATTTGAAGACCCCTGACCTAGACTTATATACCGCTTCACAGTGCTTTACTGCCCTAAGTGGTTTTACAGAGTCAGCATATTGCCCCAACAATCTGGGCCCTCATTTTACCATGGAAGGCTGAGTCAACCTTGAGCCTGGTGGGATTTCATCTGCCAAATTGCAGGCAGCTGGCTGTCAGCAGAAGTAGTTTGCAGTACTGCATTCTTATCACTGCGCGATGAAGGCTCTTACCCAAGCTATTATTTTTAATAGGTTTTTTTTATTTTTAATATTTTCACTTTTATGACCACTGCAGCATCTCCATGGTCACATGATTTACATTTGGATGCTTGGCAACTGATTCACATTTATGACGTTCGCCATGTCCCGGGGTCATACGATCCCCCTTTTGTGACCTTCTGACAAGCAAAGTCAATGGGGAAACCAGAGTCACTTCAACAACCCTGTGACTAATTTAACAATTGCAATGATTCATTTAACAGATATGGCAAGAAAAAGTTGTAAAACGGGGCAAGGCTCACTTGACAAATTTCTTACAGTATAAATTTTGGGCTCAATTGTACTCATAAGTTGAGGACTACCTGTATACAATATAATGAAGGCAAACCTCTGAACTCAATTTTTCACTCTCGAGACCCCAATCCTGCCACTTCCAAGTATGTGTGTATGTGTATATATATATATATATATATATAGAGAGAGAGAGAGAGAGAGAGATTTTCCCCAAATTTTGTTCCATTGTACTTTACTAATTTATTTATTTTTTCTTAGTTTTTATTGTTTTTTATTTTTTGTTTTAAATATGGTTTTACATTGTGTAAGCCTCGAGTTGCCATGGGCGAATATATATATGGCATCTAGGAGCACCATCTCTTCACAAGAGATCCCCAGAAGTTTTGGAGGGTATAGTTACTTCCAATTCTTGAATAATTACCTCAGTATTCTTTGTATATTAACGTATTGCTTGCAAATGTTGGAATAGCTTTTAGTCCTGTCATTTTCTATTTTTCAGTGCAGGTAGCAAGAGGAAATTCTATCAGCCCCAAAGACGACAAATAGACATTTTTGGATGCTTCACTGCTTTCCTTCCAAGCAGTTTTGTTGAACGATTCTGTTAGGCTGTTGATGCTGGAAAGATCCAAAAAGACTTCTGCAGTGGTCCTCCAGGATTGATGCTGAAAAAGAGGAAGGAAAAATAAAATAAATCAAAGTTTCTGTGGAGGAAATGGCCGTCGCACACAAAACAGAGGCAACCAAATGCCTCCTAAAAGAAAATGTTGATCCGGAAATCAAAATGGAGGTGCAGTGTTCCTCCGGCCTTCAATCTGGAGAAGGAAGGAAAAGAGAAGATTTCCCAGAAACTGGGAAGATTAAGCAGGAGATTATCCATCACGTGAAACAAGAGCCAGAAGAAGGGCCCTCTGGAAATTGGGACGCCCAGCTGCAAGAGTTTTTGAAGACGCTGCAGTCTCCCGATTATGGCAGAGAAAGCCCTTCCCTGGCCTGGAATGACCCTAAATCCACTCAGGTGCTCTCTCAAAGGATGAGGGATGCCAGCAACTGTCCCAGAGGAGTTTGGGTGGCTCCGGCCCAGCCGCACGTGGCTGTTGAAGCCCAGCGGGAGTATGAGAGTTCTCAGGAAGCCGCATCCGGCGGGAAGGGGCAGAAGGGGGCGGTGAGTGGGCCCGGGGCCAAGCTGGAGAAACAGCGCCAGCAGTTCCGGGAGCTGTGTTACCAAGAGGCTGAAGGGCCTCGCAAACTCTGCAGGCACCTCCAAGAACTTTGCCACGAGTGGCTGAAGCCAGAGAAACACACCAAGGACCAGATCCTGGATTTGGTGACGTTGGAGCAGTTCTTGGCCATCCTGCCTTCGGATATGCAGAGCTGGCTGAGAGAAAACATGCCGAGGACCTGCACTCAGGCCGTGTCCCTGGCAGAGGAGTTCATTGTGAGGCAGCAGGTCAAAGGCTGGAGCAAGCAGGTGAGACTCCGGATAAAGGCGACCTTGAAAGACTGTTGTGGGGGTGATGCACAAAATCTCCTGTGTGAATGACATGCCCTGCAGTCTTAGCTAACACATATATATCACACACACACACACACACACACACACACACACACGTGTTATGTCTCCCCTTTAATTGCAGGTGAGCAAAACGAAATATAGCAGTTCCAGAAATATCACAAACCAAAAAGCAAACCCCCACAAGAGGACTGCTGAAGTATTTTCAGTCCTCAGCAATAAATCCAAACTCTGTCCGGCAATCCTGATGTGGCTATAAATCTCAATGCCTCAAAGAGTTCTCTTCGTGTGTTCACTCCCATAAATCACTTTGCTTCTGGCAAAGTTCACCAGCCAAACTGTTTCCTTTTATCCTCTAAGGGGTGTGTTAATCTCCTTAATTAGTCACTGGCTCGACGCCTCCTTCCCAATTGAGATTGACATCTCAATCTCTGTCTATTTCTTACATCAAGCCAGGATCTTTCCAAGTTCTCTTCTTCACTGGAAAACTCTCGCATGTGTTCCTAGTTAGCTATTCCCGGCTGTTGCTCAGCCAGAGGAGAAGAATCAGAGGAGGTCGAAGGTCCTGACATCTCTATTAAATCAGGTTCATCTCTCCTAGTTAAATCCATTTCCTCATCCTGGCTACCATCCAAGTCACTCAGCAGTGCCGGCTCATATTTCACTGCCATATCCTCTTCGCTCGAGCTCACATCTGCCAACGGAACAGATTCCAACTCCGGAGTCACAACATATATGTTAGCTAAGATAACATATTAAGATAATATATATATGGAGACTTTTCCTGGGTGTATCTGCCAGGGATTTCCACTGCTTATTATTTTAAAATTTGATCGTATCAGTCTGATTTACTTGTGAATTAGACGTTTGATTCAGACGTTGCATTAAACCTCAATTCATGGAATAAGAATACAAACCAGTCTAATGAAATAAGACTAATCATGCCTGTGAGGAAGGGAACCAGGTCCACGTTGAAATTCTTGCTGTGTCCCCTCCACGGAAGAAGCTTGCAAGCAGCCTATTTTTTTTTCCTCCCCAAGTTTTGTGTTTAATCCTTTCAGCCAGGGTTTCTCAAGTTTGGCAACTCAAGAGAAGTGGACTACAATTCCCAGCATTATCCAGGTACCCTGATGGCTAGAGATGTTGGGAATTGAAATCCATACAACTTAAAGCAAGGTTGAGCAACATTGCATTAAACTACAGTACTCTGAGATACCTTTGCAATTCTAAGTCCATGAATGAGTTTATTCCCTTCCTGTCCCGTTGTCTCAACATCTGTTTCCCCTTTGCTGCTCCAGATGATGGGGATGACGGAGGGGGAATCTGAAAAGCCCCCCAAAGGAAACCAAGCTCTGTCGGAAATGGTGAAGGCACAGCTTTTTAGAGAAGCCAAGCAGGAAGCTGGAGGGAATGCAGGCTCAGTGGGTAAGTCACGTTGAGCACCTGGCAGATCAAATATTAGAGGCTTCTTTGGACTCTTCTGCAGGGCAGCTTTTGTCAGGGTAGTGATTTAAGAGCTGGCCAGTTGATGCAATGACGTAACGATGGGAATGAGTCAACAATGTTTTTTTGGCTGTTATCCCTTTAAGAGTCTGTATAATAAGAGGCCCTGTTAGGGCATATCTCTCTCTCTCTCTCTCTCTCTCTCTGTTCTTCTCTGCCCTAATTGCTGCTTGTTTGACTTCTGTCTGTAGTACACGTATCCATAGTATATATTCTTTTGTAGCTAAAACCACTATTTATTACAAACCTCTGTCTGCTATTATTGCTCCTGGGTTGTCTCGCGTAGTAAAGCTGTGCGCACTCTTATAGCTTTAAACTATAGCTGATACCAGTTGGCAATGGCACCTTCAACGTTATCTAGTGTTATCCAAATCCAACATTATCCAAACCCCTGATCCATGGACCAACACCAGGTCACGGCATGCCAGAAACCGGGCCGCACAAACAAGCAATAGCACTTGGACTTATATACCGCTTCATAGTGCCTTACAGCCCTCTCTAAGCGGTTTATAGAGTCAGTATATTGCTCTCCCAACAATCTGGATCCTCATTTTACCCACTTTAGAAGGATGGAAGGCCAAGTCAATCTTGAGCAGGTCAGACTCAAACTGCTGGCAGCCAGCAGTCAGCAGAAGTAGCCTGCAGTACTGCCTTCTAACCATTCTGCCACCACAAAGCCCCATCTGCAGGATGAAGGCAGCACGCGAGACCAGCTCCCCCTCCAGCCTGTGGAAAAACCTCTCTCCACCGAACCGGTCCCTGGTGCCCAAAATGTTAGGGGCCACTGATCCATAGTTTCTCAACTTGGGTAACTTTAAGATGCGTTATGTCGTGGCTTCTCCCCTTAAACATTCTAGTGTTCCCACCCCCTAAAGAGAATGTGAAACGGAGAAAGTAAGAGTGGATAACCCTACAAAAAAGGATTGTTGTGTTGGCATTATCAAAGAAGTAGGAAGCCTCACAGCAGAACATGTTATATTATCTTCAAAGCATATCCCCGATTGGAAAAATAAAGCCTGAATAATGAAGGATTGCCCTCTTTTTGTAATACAAGGCTTTTTAACCTTCAAAATACTCTCTTGACTACTAGCTAGTCTGTTAGAGTTTGCAGCAGAAATTCAATTCCAGAAAACATACAGATGATGGATTCAGCAGGATCATTAACTTCTCTATAAACATATTAACATGCGTAAAGTTTACAATACCATTTGTAGATTCTTTCCACATAACATAAGCAAAACAAGCAGCAGCCATTCAGAGCAGATATCAGTTTCAGCAAGCAAGCAAGACTAGTGTCATGTCCCTGACAGAGTCTGAATCCGAGGAAGACAAACAGCTGATGGGGTGGGAGTGCGGCTCCGTTGGCTGTGGGAAGGGCAAAATCTGGCTGGGCAGAGCAGGGGGAGTTAGAACAAGGGAGAGTGAGTTCAGAGGAAGACCCAGGCCCAACTCCTGTTCATCCTATATGGCACGCAGGGTGGAACGGAGAATAGAGCAACATGGGTTGTGTGGCTTACGGGGGAGGAAAGGGCCCTGATTCCCTTCATTAGCCACATCCAGGAATGAAAGTTTATAAGAACTGAATGCTGACTGTGGCAGCTGCTGGGAGCAAACGTGACTTTATCCAGTGTTGTCTTTGCTTATCTGTGTTCCTGGCATCTTTCCAATCGTGTGAGTTTTGCCCTCACATCTGCCAAGCTAATTACCTCAGTTTGGCTGGGTTGGACTTAAAGTTACAGTTTTTGTTGACCATGTTTTAGACTTGATTCCCTGCAGTTAAAGGCTGTTCCTTGGGAGAGGTTTTCTCCAGCCAGAAGGTAACCTGGACATCGGGGGCAAAGTTGGAGCTATTAAAGGGACTCTTATTGATTATCTGAATGTGTTGCCTTTGTGCCACGCCCCGGGTCATCACAACTGGTTTCTCTTTCACTTGAGAGCTGAGCACAGAACAGAAATCAACCACGCCCAGATTCTCCCTTTTAAGTTTCAGCTCTCATTGGCTCACCTTGTTACTAAGCTCGATTCCAGTTCATGAATATACCCTGACATAGTCTCCTATTTTTATTTTTTGCCTCCCCGTACAGACGACGGCTGGCCTGAGCCACAGAGGACATCGCTGAGAATGGCTAGGGAGAATTACTTCCTCGCTCCAGGTACGCCTGATGGGAATCAGCACGGAGCAGAGCAGCGGGACGGAAATAAAAGCAAAGCAGCGACCGACGAGCTGGGCCCCCCACAAGGGTTTTTGCAAGCTGCTCCCGAACCTGCTTCCCTCAACACCACGGGGAAGTGCGATGCAGAGGGCCTCGGCCAAAGCTCCCCGCGTGATGCGGGCGAGAATCCTGACCCAGAGGAGAAGCGTTACAAGTGCTGGCATTGCAGCCAGGCTTTTGGCAGCAGCTTGGATCTCTTGGCCCACGAGAGGACCCACGTGGACGAGAAGCTCTACATCTGTTCCCACTGCGGAGAGAAGATGAGAATCCGGGCCGGGCAGGTCTCCCACATCTGTTCCCACTGCGGCAAAAATTTTGGCTGGATTCCCAAAGAGAAGCTCAGCGCCGACCGAGAGAGATGCTTCATGTGTTCGGAGTGCGGGAAGTGCTACACTCGGAGGACGGACTGCCTAAAGCACCAGAAAACCCACGCCGGAGACAAACTCTTCCTTTGCACGGTCTGCGGGGAAAAGTTTGCATCGTACACCTCTCTCAAAATGCACCAGGTGGCCCATCGAGGGCAAGACACTTTCCAGTGTTTCCACTGTGGGAAAGCCTTCATGTCCAGGTCACACATGTTGCTGCATGAGCTGATGCACAAGAACAGCTGCTCGTACTGCGGGAAAAGCTTCACCCGAAAATCAGAACTGTGTGAGCATGAGAAAACTCACACTGCCACAGAGTAACCTCCTTAGAAAAAAAACATTTCTTTGAACCTCAGGCAACCAAACCCCAGTTTGAAGGGCTGGAGAGACACCCGATCCCTCAAAAGCCTTAGAGCTCTCCCAAGTTTTATTACCCATATATTTTCTTTATTTTCTTTAAAAAAAAATACAAAAAAAAGTAAGAAAACAAGTCAAAACTTTTTTACTAGAAAGTCATTGTAAAAGGGCTGTGCGGGGATTCCAAGTTGGAGCGTTTGTAAGAGTACGAACACGGCAGTTCTCTGTGATTGTGTAAAGCTGTTTTTGTCTTTTCATAGGATACGATGCCAGCTGGGAGGCAGCCGCCTTGTTGCAAGAAAAGGCATAGCTGCTTTGTAGACAGATGCCACATTGGCACTCAAAATTTATTTTTCAAGTGATCAGATCCAGAATTAAACTGTATGGTTCAGCTACTACCTAAACTTGATTGTAATTAAATTTAAAGACAAGTCAAACGGAGCATTTTCATGCTCCTGATGCTATTTTTAAGAGAGCACACAAGCACTCCAAGCTTGGCTCAGCCTTAGGATGAAAAAATAAAATTCATAGATGTCATTTTTGTTACAGATTCACAGGGCTGGAACGGATCTTGGTGGTCTTCAACCCTCTGTCCACTGATGATTTCATATAAAAAGAAACACCTTTTTGATGTTGCTGTAAACTCTTCAGTCGGTTTGTGAGCCACATTTAAGTGCAAAATGGCTAAGAAATTTAAAAGTAGGATTTACATGTTCAAAATGTTTGCAGAAAGAGAAGTCTATTAGTAAAAGTTTGGCCTCTGATGGCACAGTGTAGTAACGTCTTCATTTATTTGCCCAGAATTGTTTTGTGGAAAAATGAGATGATGGACAGAAGCTGATGCCATGGGTCTCGTGGAACTTGATTGTGTTTTTAAAAAGGAAAAAAAAAAGCCCAGCAACGCAGCAGGAAGGGGGCATTGTGGGCAGGTTGAAGTGGGAGAATTCTGCCTTCCCCAGCCTAGATCCAGATGTTTTGAAACTACATTACCCAGAATGCCTAGCAAGAATGTTTCTTAGCCAATGTTAGACAATTCTGAGTTTCCAAGACAGTGGGAACTAACTAACTTTCTTTCTTTCTTTCTTTCTTTCTTTCTTTCTTT